CAAAGTTCTCACAAAAGCGAAAGCCTTTGAAGGAATTCCTCTAGCCGGCCAACGCTTCAAAGACCAATTTGATTGCTTCCTGACACACCGATCCTCCAATTTATAGCCCACTTGATCGTTCAATTACTCAATTTTAGGATTATAGTCGCCAAAAATCGATCATCTTTTGATTCTATTCTTTCTTTTTTTTCTTTTTGCCGAACACCAAGAATACTGATTCTCATTTGATTTCTGTGTGTCGTGTCGGTGAATCCCTGGGGATTTAAAAAAAAGAAAATGGCAACAGACACCAAGAAATCGCATTTTTATCTTCTTTGGAAGATAATCATTAGTCGATTTCATAGATTATCTTAAAGAGATTTATTTATGGAGTAAATAGATCAATGGGGGGAAATTGAGGGGAAAAAACTGGAGTTAGATGAGCAGACAGATTATCGAAAAGATCGGTGTACGGTAAAGCTGCGATTTTGTAAATGTTATTGCAAAAAGTGGATTGTAATCTACGGTGCTTGTCGGTCAGACAGTTAGATATGCAAATCGATTTCGAGAAAATAGCCATCGTCTAGAGTCGTCTAGAGGTTTTGTAAGCTTCAGCTTCAGCTTAGGCTTCAGCTTAATCTTACAAAAGCTTAGCTTAAGCTTACAAAAGTTTGGCTTAAGCTTACAAAAGCTTAGCTTAAGCTTACAAAAACTTAGCTTAAGCTTAAGCACCTCGTCTTACTTTCAATTCGGCCTCAATTTTCGGCTAGGCTCTTTCAAAAAACATAAAATATAAAATAAAAGCTGATTGGACTAATGAATGCCGAGAAAAACTCTCAAATCATTTTGTTTTCTAAAATATCTTTTCTTTATAACAAAAACAGAGTACTGTAGCTTTCCTCTTGAGCGCAACTTTTAGAAAACGTCTTGAATCACTGAACCACTATTGAAATAAAGTAACTTATTTTCTAAAAAGTGTCAACTTTTTCGCTTACGGTAATCCAAAAGCCATATCTTAAGCTTCGACCAGTCAAATTTCTGCAATTACATTCTATTCATTTGTGGGCAAAAACTGTCGACTTTTGCTTTGACCAGCTAGGGTTTTTCGTTTTCGGTAGACCCCATATGGCTGCTTAAATCAAAACGTTAAACTAGTTACCGATCTTGACTCTAACCAGTAGGTTAAACTACCGTAATCTTGTCTAAAACCTCAAGATTAATCTTTTTTTCTTTTCTATAAAAGGCTATCGTACATGAATTTAAATTTTCAAAGACTGTTCCTCACTAGTAGAACGCTTTAGTTAAGATGAGCACACTTTGATAATGATTTGAATACGTGAAAATGCAAGTGTTTGATCCAGTGATGTGAATTTGAAAAGTTTATTTTCAAATCCAGCTCAGTTTTAGTCTTCAGCTGATCTCCCTTCACTGTATTCCTTTGTAGACAAAATAATTCGGGGTTTTTTTTTCGGGATTTCCTTTCCTTGCAAACGAAAGTTGTTTACGTGCCGGAAGCATGGTGATTTCTAGGAAAATATTGCAATATTTATCGGTTAATAGGGAAAAAAATTCATTGAACAGAAAGTGACCGAAGAAGAGAAGGGAAAATCTGAAGGAATTAGATGGGATAAAAGGGGAAAAGAAGGAGGAAAAGAAGGGGGAAAGCGATTATCGCACATAGAGAAAATTATCAAGGATGCCGGGTACAGAATTTGACCATCAAAAGTTCAAAAACATTAGGATTGAGGACGGAAATTTGCATTTATAGACTGGTATTTTGGATTGAGTGCAGGGTACAGAGGTTGATCATCAGGGACTAAAGAATGAAAACGTATTTTGAACGGACAGGGAAAATGGTTGGGTCTTCAACCGGTTCTTTCGCTTCACCGGGGGAACGAAAAGGGAACACCTATCTATCGGGAACGCGTGCCAGATGGCGAGCAATTACGCGAATGCACAAAGAACACCCTACCAGTCATCTTTTAAGGATTCTTTTGTAGGATTCTTTGAAATATATTCAACTGTAAATTTGTACTTAGGGTTTTCGGGGTCGACGAATCGATTCGAGCTATTCATTTCATTGAGTTTACCAAGTGAAACGCGGATTTCATCGGTTTAAAGCTCTAAGCTTTTAGATGAGCTTGGATTTAGTTTGCTTTGCTAAGAGTACAGGGTGCGGCATAAGTATGGTTACAAGGTTGTAACATTGATTTAAGAAACTGATTGATTTTTATTTCTTGCCAAAGGATTATTTTTTCTTAGTTTGAGTGCTTTTTTTATCTTATGTAGCAGTTTTTAAGCAAATTTTTAACTTTGGACATAATGGTGGAGGCTTCTCCCAATCGTGCCGCTATTCTTCAGCTTGGAGCACAAGGACGATCAACTTCGGATATTGCCAAACTGCTGAAAATGCATCGAATGACGGTATACCGCATTTTGCAACAAAATAGAGTCGAAGAGCTTCCTAAAAGTGGACGTCCGACAAAAATTGATCACACGAGACTCAAGAAAATCATTAAGAAACAAATCAAGCGCAATCCTGCCCGGAGCATGAGAAAAATGGCACCCCAATTGAATGTTTCTGATAGAACTATCTGTCGTATCGTCAAAAAGGATCTGGGTCTTCACCCTTACAAGTTAAGGAAGCATAATGGCCTAACGGATCTTCAAATGAGAAAAAGGAAGCAAAAATGTGCTCTTCTTCTTGCAAGGGCCGCAAATGATGAGCATCTGACGATGCTTTTTGCCGACGAGAAATTATTCAACATTGAGCAAGTTTTCAACTCTCAAAATGATCGAATTTTGGCTCACAGCCCTCAAGAAGTAAATAAAAGTGGTCGATTTGTGGACAGGAACTCACATCCAGCAGGAGTCATGGTTTTTGCAGGGGTGTCAGCAACTGGTCGCACACCGTTGATTTTCGTTGATAAAGGGCTGAAAATTAGCACAGACGTGTATCTGGACGTTCTCACAAAACATGTACAGCAGTGGAGTCAAGGACATTATCAAAATCAGCGCTCGACGTTGATGCAAGACGGCGCCCCAGCGCACAAAGCAAAAAAGACTCAAGAGTGGTGTCGAAACAATTTGCCCGACTTTATTCCCGCCAATGAATGGCCAGCTAATTCACCCGACCTCAATGTTATGGATTTCTGTGTTTGGGGAATTTTGGAGCAAAAAGCATGCACAACAAAACATGCAAACGTTGAAAATCTGAAAAAGGCTCTGAAGAAAGCCTGGGCGGAAATTCCAAAAGTACCCTGCGGGCCGCCGTGGAAAGTTATCCAAAGCGTCTTAAAGCCGTTATCAAAAATAAAGCTGCCTATATTGAATAATTTGTTATTTTTTAAATGAATATGATTACTGTTGTTAATTTTAAATAAAGTTTACATGAATCCGTTCATATTCCATTACGATACATGATTCTGAGTCTTTAACCATACTTATGCCGCACCCTGTAAATAGGGTTTGCTTATCGGTTATGGTAGAATCGAAAATCCAACAACAATAATTTTCCCATGCATCCCTACTAAAAGTTTTTCTCACTTTTCCTCATTTCAAAATCTCTCAAAAACGGGGAGATGTTTACGAGGAAATTTTGTATCTTTGCGCAAATCCCCCAGGAAATCTCGCCATCATTTCTCCTTTTTTTTAAACATAAAAATCGATAATTAAAAGATGAAAAATAATTTTCTTAAAAAAGATAACTTTTGCACTTAATTTTTGATGATTTTATGTGTTCGATTCTGAAAATTCTTTAATTAAGGACATTTTTCTACGTGTGTTGCCGTTTTCGGTGATGAATGAGCAAATTGGATTGGGGATTTCCGAAAAAGGAATCCGAAATGACGAACGGTCTACGAAAATTTGTGTAATATATTGTTTTTGACTATTTAGTTCAAGAATCAAGTTGACTTTTGGGGGGTTTTTTTGAGAAATGACGATTGAATGATCAGCGATCAAATCGAATGTATTGGGTTGGTGAATTGAAAACTGTCGGCTATTTTCATATGTGACAGTTTGAGCACTTTCTTCAAAAGAAACCCATTTTGGTGTCAATGGAAAAGTTGTAGAGAATCAAAAATTAAGCTTATATCCAAATTTTCAGAACGATTCAAAAACTGGTTCTCAAGAAATGCGAAATTTACGAATTTTCACAAAACTTTCATTTTAAGCGAAACTACTAAGTGTATCTTTTTGCAAATTTGGCTATAAGCCTAATTTTTGATTCTCTACAACTTTCCCATTGACACCAAAATGGGTTTCTTTTGAAGAAAGTGCTCAAACTAGTCCTCCATTTTTGTCTCCAGTCTCCAGTCCTCCATTTTTGAGTCTCACACTTGTCTCACACACAAACCAAAATCCTACTACGAAAGAGGAATCCGCAAATTGCCTGTAAAATGGGCAGAAGTCGTCAATAGTAATGGAAATTATTTGAAATGAATTTATGGTTTTATGTTGAATAAATTTTAGTTCAAAGTCCCGTAGTTTTCAATTCACCAACCCAATATTAGACTGTTCAGAAAGTCAGCCGAATAGAGTTTGGGTGGGTTTTTTTGATCACTGCCTCATGAGTAGTAGTATAATGGGTCACGCTAGCGCACCCTTTCACCCTCTTCGTAAAAAAGACAAAAAGACGTCTTTTTCAGCAAAAAATGACTAAATTTTGCGAGTTTAAGCATGATTTTACGTGTTTTTCTATTTTTGGGTGAGTTTAGAAAAAAATTTCTGGCGCACCAAACACCCATAACAGGGGTTTTCCATTTTTCGCCGTTTTTAGCGTTTTTTTGACGCCTTATCAATGATTTTGATGCTCTAACAAACCAAAAATCAACAGTTATAGCAAGTTTCCGGATTTTAAAGAATTCTGGTGGTAGTAACACACGAGTCACAAATTGCGCTAACAGAATTTAAGCCTTGTAAGAAAAAAAAAATCAAAAATTTCCGCGGTGTTTTATGTGTTTATAATAACTAAATTCAAATGATAAAACAATTTATTATATCGAACTTTTACACATTTACTTTGGCGATGGCTCGAGGCGAGGACGTTTTGATTTCGATCCACCTAACTCCCTTTCTCCTCGAGGTTGAAAAAAGCCATGCTGCACGAGATACTTCTAAAAATATTATATGTGAATTTATAAGTTTCAAAATAAATTACTTGATAGGCTCCCCAGATAAGTTCTCCAGGAGAAATCCACGTATCGGCTGGATTAGAAGAAGCGTCTGCGATTTCATCTTCAATGATGTCACGCTTATATTCCGGGGTGAGGCTCGGGCTTGTTGTTGTCGAAGATACCATAATCCCGATAAGAGCGCGATCAGCAGAGTAACATGGCCCTCCGGAGTCACCACCATCAATCGAAGAACTTGCCAAGTAACGTCCTCTGTAGTCCACCTTGATAGAACAAATCCGGCCAGTTCGATGAGTCATATGCTGTCCCTCTTCCGTTTCATGACTTAAACCAAATCCAAGAAACCATTCGAAATTTCTAGGGGGACGCAGTGCATGCGGATAATCCTCGAAAATCGTGGTTCCGTCCAATGAGAAAAGCAATACAAAGTCATGGTGAGCGTCGACGACAATGACCTACAATATATTGAATTAATTACAAAAAATTTCTCTCAAAGATACCTTCATGATGTGTCGAATATTTTGATTTTGGCAATTTCTTATTTCCACAAGGCTGTGTTGGTTTCTTTCATCATCTTGTCCTTCGGCATACTCGCGAAGAAATGTATGCGATTTGTGTGCGAATGTCACAGCAGCTCTCGGTGAAATTGGGGAAACGCAACCACCGTCAATGACACCATCTTTTACAGCAAAAGTTTCCTCGTCAGGACCTCGTAGAGCTTGTTGTCCTCGAGGAGCAAAGAAGAGCCGGTTGCAAAGTTCGCTCGCCAGTTTCTCTAAAAACCAGCAATAAATTGTTAGACTATTTAAAATATAATACCATCAATAACGTAGGGCGATTCAGGATCCCGTTTGTAGTCCAAAAATTGTGCTAAAATGAATATTTAAGTAAAAATCCTTTGTATAAAAACATACAAATTAAAGTTGTTAATGAAAGATAATAAATTCAATCGTAAATCATACAAACCTTGATCAGCAGGAGTAGACGGTCTTGAAGGTGCTTGATCCGATTCGACATGAAACTGCATAGAAGACCAGCCATCGGGAAGCAAAAACGTCGCTTCATTCACTTCATTCACCCTAAATTAATTGAAATACAATCAGAAATAAAGTAACTTACCGGCAATCAATCTGTTGACCATTTTCTTGATACGACAACTTCACAATCGCATCTGGCGGAAGAAGAAAAGCGTGTTTGATGGAGCTTTCGGTTATCTGATTGTCCGACAATTTGAAGGCAACATCCTTGTCGAGCATTTTGAGTCGTATCGTTTCAGACATTTTGAAAGACGATTCTAAAAATAAAAAATTAATTTTCTACACACACTCTTTATGATAAGAAAAAATAGAAAGAAAGGAAAAGCGTTCATTTCCGGAAAAAACTAGCACAGTTAGATTGCAACGCAACTTAACAGATAATTACTTCTAAATGGCGTAGTACTAAAAATTAAGTAAAAGAACGTAAATTTCATGACAACAAAGAGCAAAACTTAACAATAAGGAGACCGACAATTCGGGAACAAACAGCAGGAGAAAATGAAAATGATTTTTCTTTCCCAATATTTCTGTCGTGTTTCATATGCAAATTTTCAGGACTCTAATTAAAATCAACTGAAATTTATCGGTTCTAGCTTTTACACAGAAATTCTTTTGCATTCCCGGTTTCTTTAACTCTTTAACTAACTAAAATTTGAGGAGAAAATAACAATGATAACCACGGCGGATGGGAAACACGCACAACGTGAACTACAGGGTAACACCAAGAATCTTGTCCATTTACGAATCGCCTTCCTCTGTGTCTCTGCTAACAGACGCGTCACTCCCTTCCACTCTAGCCCAACGCGTTGCGTGCACTTGGTTCAACTGCGAATCAATCACATCGCGGCGTGAGGAAAAAGCGAAAGTGGTGAAAAGAGATAGAAAAAAGTGACAAAACCCAACAATTTTCTGCTCAAAATTTTCTACTTTTTTTGCATAAATTATCCTTCCAAGTCGATTATCTCGCTTCAAACTAGAGATAATTCATTTATTTTTTAAATACATCCTTTTGAGCTGGGTACTATTTTGTGTTTTCTTTTAAAACTAAAATTATTTGAGTTTGTCATTCTTTCTTCAGGAATCCAAAAGTTGCGCTTAAAAGAGCAGTTGAAAAAAGCTTAAAGATAAGGATGCTAACTAATTTATGTTATTTCGAAATCAATTGTACTTCATCATTTTTTTGTTGTTCTAAATAAAATGGATCAAATACATTGTTTCAAGTGTAAACAACGTACAAATTCAATTGAAGTCACATACATCATTACCAAAAACAATCGAAATATGATGAAAGGGAAATGCGAGCACTGTAACACCGCAAAGTTTAAGCTTATTCCAGCCACTAATTTGAACTTGGGCTCAGGATTTGAAGACTTAAAAGACCAAGTACTCCTAGAAAAAACATATTACTCGCCTGAAACAGGTTTTTGTGGTATCAATGAACTCTCAAGACTAACTAAAAAACCTCCAAAAGTTGTAAAAGAATTCCTAAATCAACAAGATGTTTACACACTTCATAAACCAGCTCGTAAGAACTTTCAAACACAAAGAGTTTACATCAATGAAATAGATGAGCAGTGGCAATCAGATCTCGTTGAAATGATTCCTTATTCAAAAGAAAATGATGGTTTTAAATATCTTTTAACTGTTATCGATTGTTTTAGTAAATATGCTTGGGTTGAAAAACTAAAAACTAAGAGTGGCAAAGAAACTGCTGATGCACTTGAGAACATCTTTTCTAAAGGTAGAAAGCCAAAGAAGATGCAAACAGATAATGGAAAGGAGTACTACAACTCTCAGATGAACAAACTCTTTAAAAGTCTCGAAATCAATCATTTTTCAACTTATTCAGATAAGAAAGCATCCATTGTTGAGAGATTTAATAGGACTCTAAAAGAAAAAATGTGGAAAGTTTTTACTTTGAATGGGAATCATAAATGGATAGACACCCTTGATGATCTTGTAGAAGGTTACAATAACCATTACCATACTAGTATTAAAATGACTCCAAAAGAAGCATCTAATCCAGAAATGAGTTCTCTTGTTCATACTAATTTATTTCCATCAAATAAAGAAGAAAAAATAATCCCCAAGTTTAAGGTAGGTGACTCTGTTAGAATCACAAAATATAAATCCATTTTTGCTAAAGGCTATCTTCCAAATTGGACTACTGAGATCTTCAAAATTAGTAAAGTTAATCCAACTTCACCAATAACGTATGACCTAGTAGATCTTGGAGATGAAGAAATTACAGGTAAGTTTTATGAAGAAGAACTAGCTATTTTCAACAATATCAAAGAAGAATACCGAATCGAGAAAATAATCAAACGTAGAACAAGAAAGGGAATGAAAGAAATTTTTGTTAAATGGTATGGATATCCTGAAAAGTTCAATTCATGGATTCCAGATCTTAAATACTAACCACTTTAATGCGATTATCTTTCACTTCAACAATATTTTCACTCAAAATTAAGCAATAACATTTAGTACTTTGAACAATATTTTTACTAAAACTTGCCTTTATGGTAACATCAGGTCTACTTTGAATTATGCGGTCATTTTGCTTAGAAACATCAAAAACTAACAACGGATAATAATAATAATATACATCTTCCTCCATGAAAATGTAATCTTTGACTGATTCGTAATAACTATTTCTGAATTCTTTAGCGAAATTGTATTGCTGGACGGCATTGAATTTATCAAAGTCAAACTTTAAACATTCATATGGATAACGCTCAGAGTTTAGTTCAACATAAATTTCTTCTAATCCACAATTGTCGAATTTGGCAGCATTTAGGTAATTATTATCTCTAGCAGTTTGAAAAGCAATGACAAGGTATTTTATTTTATCATATTTTGTTCCAAGTTTCCAAGTAAATTCACGATTACCATTTGGAATGTTATAACTTTCAAATTGTCTTGAAATAAAGGGCATCTGGAGAAGTTTATTACTTTCAAAGGTGTTTAATAATTTATTTTGCATCTCAAGGCTAGGCACAATTTTTGGAATAATCCATTGTAATTTATTTATTGTCATTTTTGCGGTAAATTCAGCAGGATCAGTAGAAACAATTGAATTTTTGTTTTCGGGTGATCTGTAGAGACTTAGAGTGTGTTTTCTTCCATAAATTATTCTGTTGTAACATTCTGCAAATCCGAAAACGTGTGTCAATGGAATACAAAACGTAAGACCTCCTTTTCTATTCTTGGTATATTTGTTAACTTTATAAGTAATAATATCTTTCGTTTCTAAAATCCAACCAAAAGTATTTTGTTTGTTCATTGTCGAAGAATATGTTAAAAGTCCTTTCATCAAGCTAGCTCTTCCAGGATCTATAATATTTTCAACTTGCATCCCATCCATACTATAAGTTGCTCTGTCAAATAGAAACATTGGGGCATTATTAGTCAATGAGACTTCATCAGCATCAGCTAATGCAGTACCATCAATTTTAGTTAAACTTGCTTCTAAATAGATGTAAGATTTGTGTAATAGAAGATACTGATCACAAGTTTCTATAATAAAATTAATTTCTCCATGTTGATTCAAGCTCGAACCTGATGAAGGAAATATACTAATCAGATTCTCTTTTTGAATAGATGTATCGCTCACAATAGGATTGTCAACAATGAGTATTCTATCAATTGCTTCTGACATTTTCACAGGAGATCCTTTACTTTTAATTTATTTAGAATATTTTTTTCTAATATTAAATACAAAGTTATTTGTTTGAAATTAATTGGAATTATTGAATTATTATCAAGTTAATATTTAGAAGTCAAAATCGGATGAATCTATTGGGATTTTACTTTTTCTATGCATTTTCCTTCTATGATGTACTTGCTAAGAGTATCATTTGTACAGAAAATTCTCCAGTTCAGTACTTTAGATTACCAAAATTGCACAAGTGTAACTACCACAGGCAATTATCACCACAAGCAGAAGTTGTAAAGTATCAAGTTTTTAAACCCAACATCATTGAGTATGCATCAGAAGGAAAATTGTGTAAAAAATTAGTTAGTGAAGTATCAATGTACACCGATTTCTCAGGATATGAGCATCTAGTAGAAAAGGAATCAAATCATCATTCAATCACATTAGCAGAGTGCAGAGAAATGATTGCATCAAAGAAATGTGAATACGGTGCACTTGTTAATTCTGGGACTTCTGGTTTTTGGAGCACAAATAATAAAGTTGAACTAGATTATCCAAATCGATTCACTAGTCTGTTCTCACCTAAAAGATACTATAAAGAGAATTGTGTTATTATTGAAACGAAGGTCTATTCTCACTTCAATCAAAGTCGTCCAACAAATGTTCTAGTTGACATGAAGAATTGTAAGTATCAAGATGGTTCTTGCGAAATAAAGAAAAATGAAATTATTGTCTGGGATGTTAACAAAGACCAGAAGTGTCAATATATTTCAATTGGAAAGCTAGATGGTGTCTACAACAATGGTTTGTGGATTAATAGTCAAAATCAGATAGCATTAAGTTTTACATCCAACATAAGAGTTAAAGATTGTAATCTTGACTTATTACTTAGTGATGAAGGTTTTGCTATTCTAAAGAAAACAAAAGCTCTCAACTATCAAATACCAATGAAGGAGATACCAAAACTGCCAACACCACAACCTTTAATCCAAACAACAACTGAAAACAAAGAATATTATGAACGACAACGTGCTCAACAAGAAGAAATTAGGAAACAACGCGAGAAATATGAAATTGAAATGAAAGAATTTAAACAACGTCGGGAAGAAAAAATGAAGAAATATCTAGAATCTGAGAAGAAAAGGGAAGAAAAGATTCGACGTGAACAAGAAAGATCTAATCGAACAAAGAGAGAAACAACCAACGAAGTCGGCTCTAACGGGGATGTAAATAATGATGAATACTATGAGGATTGTGAATGTGATGAAGAAGAAGTACAAGAAAGAATTGAGAAAGATGAAGAATTACCACAATTACCCACATACAATGAATACCTAAAAACTAAACATGATTGTGAGGCTCTACCAAGCTATGGTGAACTTATTAAAATTCGAGAAGCCTGTAATAATTTTCCAAGTTACACTGAATACATTGCCCGGATTGAGAAATATGTACTTGAAAGAAGGAGTCTAAATAAAACAAATAAAACTAAAACTAGGTCCAAAAGGGAGCTGCACTCAGATTTTCAAACAGCAGGAGAATTTCAATATCTAGAAAATAAATC